TAAAAAAAAAAAAAAAAAAAAAGGGAAGAAAACCAAAAAATATACAACAATAGACGTGAGAGAAATAAAGATGTCGTGTCACAACTTGGACAAAGCAGTTACACCATCTCTGCTGCAATTCTGTCCTGCAATCAAATCGGAGTAACAAAGGTTACATATGACTGTAATCAGATTTAGATGGCCCATGGTCTCCGCAATTGCTATAGGAAACGAGGAGGGACACATGTCAGTTAGAAAATGAGATGCTGGAAGTTAAATAAAAATGAGCTTAAGAGAAAGAAATTGTAAAAATTGTTACACGGAAGAAACATAGCTTTTAAAAAGAAGAAAAAGATTTATTCGTAACTTTTTATCCAAAAAAAAAGTGTGAACTATTTCGAGTCTTTCTCTAAGTTTTATTTCTCTAAGTTTTATTGATTCATTTCGTCATTGTTTTGAGCTGTTTCTACTTGTACGCTCTTGGCTTGGTGAGATTGGTTCTTTGTATATCTACATTGAATCGATTTGTTACGAAGTTCTATATTGATCTTGAGTTTCATTGTATCAAAGGTATCAGACGTCAAATGAACCTCAGAATCGATGGCAAAAACTCGATCCCAAGCTTTACGGAAAGAAGCAGTAACTCATGATGTGGAGTAATCGATCGGCAGAAAGATTCAAGCATTGGAGAGAGCAATATCTGAACAGAAGGTGTTTGTCGAAATGAAGATAGCTGATATTTTTGAAGCGAATTGTGTGTTACAAATCAACACCAATCTGACGATAGCTTCAACGAGTGCAGAACGAATCAACACTGATCACAATCCACGATCATCTCCAACATATGAAGAATTTTACAACTATCAGAATCGCAATCATCGTCAACCAATTCATCCGACTTAGAATGGTATGACGAGATTGGGGAGAGTTGACTTTCCAAGATTTAAGGGTGAAAAATTCTGAGAATGGTTGTTCAAAGTGGAAGAGTTCTTCGCGATTGATAATACACCATTGGAGTTAAAAGTACGTTTAGCTTCTATACATTTTGATCAATTGGCCGCAGCATGGCATCAATCGATTGTTCCATCTGAAGAGGAAGCTTATGTACTTCATGATTTGGAGCAATATAAATTCCTATTGAAAGAAAGATTTGAAGAGATTTTGGATGATCCGATTGTTCAATTGAAAAAGTTGCAGGAGACATAAGGAATTGGTCACTATCATACCAAATTTAAAGTAATTCGTAACAAAGTGAAGCTACCTGAGAAGTACTTAGTAAGCACATATTTGGCAGGCTGAACAATGACACTCAGATGCATGTGAGAAGGTTTCAATCGAAGTTTGTTAGAGAGTACTTAATGTTGGAAAGATTATATGAAACAACTCACCCTTGTAAACCACCTTCACAGAATTGGTCTAGTGGGAAGTCGCAGAGTAACAACACTAAGTGCTTACTACAATATCAAAAATCTGCAGAGGTCAAGAGAGTGAATGTGGTGGGAATTGACAAGCGTAAACAATGGGTGAAGCAGTTTCAGCCATTTCTTTCCTATGAGGAAATGAGTGCTAGAAGAGCAAAAGGTCTTTACTATTACTGCGATGAAAAGTATATTCCTGGTCGCTATCTGAAACATAAAAAAAAATTAAAGGCAGTGAAGGAATGGCCACAACCTGCAAACTTGAAACAATTGTGAGGGTTCTTAGGTTTGGCTGGTTATTACATGAGATTTGTGAAGGGGTTTGGTAGCATTGCTCGTCCGTTTACAGCTTTAACCAAGAAGGACTCATTTCTTTTGTCGACTGAAGCTCAGACTGTTTTTGATGAACTCAAAACAACCTTATGTGAAGCTCTAGTATTAGTTTTACCAGAATTCACAAAGCAATTTGTAGGGGAGACAGATGCGTGTGGGAGTGGTATAGGAGCAGTACTTATGAAGGAGGGACACCTTATGACGTATATCAGTCGTCATCTCAAGAGACCTACTTGCAGTTGCATTTGTCCATTTATGAGAAAGACCTACTTACTGTGGTATTTACAGTGCAGAAATGGCGACATTATCTACTCAACGACAATTTCATAACTAGAACAGACCAACGAAGCTTAAAGTATCTTCTAGAGCAGAGGTTAAACACACCAATTCAACAACTGTGGTTACCAAAGTTTCTGGAGTTCGATTATGAAATACAATACAGATAAGACAAAGACAATCTTGTTGCAGATGCTCTGTCTCGAGTCAAAGGATTTGAGGTACTGAGCAAGGTTTTATCTGTTACTGATTATGATTTCTTGAAACATATTCAAGAAGGATATGATATGGATTCAATGACTAAGAAGATGATTGAAGAGTTAAAGAAGAAACCAGATGCTCATAAGCATTTTTCTTGGACGCAAAATATATTAAGAAGAAATAGAAATCTAGAGGTTTCTGATGTTGCTACGTTGAGAAGAATAGTTCTTGAGTGGCTTCATGGCTCTGGTAGTAGTGGTCATTCAGGAAGGGATGCGACTCATCAGCGTGTAAAGAATTTATTTTAATAGAAAGGCATGAGTAAAGACATTCAGATGTTTTTCATAAGCTATAGTGTTTGTCAACGGTGTAAGCATGAAATGGTGGCTACTCCTGGTCTGATTCAGCCATTGCCAATTCCTACAACGGTTTGGACAGACAAATCTATGGACTTCATAGATGGGTTGCCGAATTCTTGTAGGAAGTCTGTGATTTTTTGTGGTGGTGGATAGGTTGAATAAGGCAGCCCACTTCATGGCAATGAAACATCCTTATACTGCTGCATTTGTAGCTCAAGTTTTCCTCGAAAACATCTTCTGTTTACACGATTTCCCTCAGACTATAGTCAGTGACTGTGACTCGGTGTTAGTGACTTTTGGAAAGAGTTAATTTCTCTTAAAGGTGTTGCATTAAACTACTCTACCGCATATCACCCGCAGAGTATCGGCTAGACAGAAATGGTAAACAACTTTTTGGAAACGTACTTGAGAGGTATGACTATTGAAAAACCTCAGTTGTGCAGTAAATAGTTTCCACTTGCAGAGTATTGGTACAGTACTACTTATCATTTGGCTACACTAATGACTCCATTTGAAGCAGATTATGGTCATACTCCTCCGGTGCATCTTCCGTAGCTACCTGGTGAATCGAAGGTTGCTTTGATCGCTATATCCTTGCAGGATAGAGAAGATATGATCTTAATGTTGCAGTTTCATCTCTTATGGGCTCAGTATTGTATGTGCCAAAATGAAGATTTTCACAAAATAGAGCGTTCTTTTGAGATAAGAAACTACGTTTATGTCAAATTGAAACCCTATAAGCAACAATTAGTGTTGCTTAGATCAAACAACAAGCTTGCTTCTAAGTTTTATGGTCCTTATAAGATCATCGACCGTTGTGGCCAAGTGTCTTACAAACTACAGTTACCTGTTTCTTCATCAATTCATCCGATTTTCCATGTGTCCCAATTGAAGGTGTTGGTTGGTAATGTTTCCACTTCAACTCAGTTACCTAATGCGTTATCGGATGTATTGATCAAAGAGCCTGAGAGAACTTTGGAGCGCAAAATGGTTAAGAGGCAAGGTCGTGCAGCTACGCAAGTATTGGTGAAGTGGATGAACCAAGGTGAAGATGAAGCAACTTTGGAGTTTCTTTATGACTAGCAAAGGAAGTTTCCAACTTTTAAACCTCGTGATCAAGGTTCTCAACAGGGAGGATTTGCTATAGGAAATTAGAAGAGACAAGTGTCAGTTAAAAAAAAAGATTCGTTGGAAGTTAAATAAAGATGGACACGGGACAACTCGAGGGAAGGAAGCTGCAGAAAGTTGTTACACACAAGAAACAAAGCTTTTAAGAGGAAGAAGATTCATTTGTCGTTTTTTATCCAGAAAAATTGTATGAACTATCTTGAGTCTCTCTCTGAGTTTTATTTATTCATCTCGTCACTTCTTTTGAGATATTTCTACTTGTATGCTCTGGGCTTAGTGAGATCGGTTCTTTGTATATCAACATTGAATCGGTTTGTTACGAAGTTCTATATTGATCTTGATTTTTACTGTATCAGCAATGAGATGGAGAAAAAGAGGAAAGGAATGTGGCTCCTCCAAGATTTCCATCAAATCTTTAGCTGAGAATTCAAATATGACTATATGTTGTCGCATACTCCTTAAACTCACAGATGCCCATAGCAAACTTAGAAGTTCCACTTTAACCAACTACGAGACTCGTGAGAAGGATCTTCACTATGAAACGATTACCCAATATGATATCAAACATGTTTTGTTTTGAAAACAAGGTGAGCTAAGTGTTCCCATTCCAGAAGTAGTGGACGTATTTC